ATATCAAAAATTGACCACCAAAACGAGTGCCGGTACACTTTTTTCACTGCACATGTGTTTGATGTTCATTGTTTTGACATTGTGTACGTAACTACTTTTTGATTTTTGTTTTTTTCCTATTCAAATTTATTTTTATAGGAAAACTTCAATTTCCCCTTGTGCACCATTTTTATTTCAATTTTATTTACTTGTTTTTATTTTTCCTTGTCTGTTTATATTTTTATTTTATGTTTTTATGTTAATTTATCAGAGAAACGAAAAAAGATCCAATTGATATCAGAAACTTTGTGTTTCATATTTTGGTTTCGTCACTCGCTCTTCACCTCGTCAGAGGTTTTTTATTTGATTGTTCGAACGGTCAAAATTGATCGAATTCAGTTCCTGAAATAGGTGTAGAAGTTAATTATAGTTCGGATAACTCGGTGGACGCTGGTGTAGCACTTTTTGTATGGAAATATTTGTTGAAAGTTCAACAATACGCCACCTTTTAAAGACAATAAAGGTTTTCGTTACTACTGCTGTGTTGACATAGCTCTAGCGAACTATATGGCTATTGCTGTATTAGAAACCAATACTAAGAAACACACTGACTTCGATTCTGTTTATGCGTATGTGTTATAAATTTTGCACAAGCAGCTACGGTTGACAATTGAGTGCAGAATTTGCAATACAAACGGACACACAAAATCAGAGTCAGTGTGTTCTTTAGTAACAAAAATCTTTATGTCTTTTAATAGATGTCGTATTCGTTGAATCTTCAACAAAAAATCTTCGATACCAGCGCCCTCAACTCATGTTTCATATTTGTTCAGTATGCTCAGGCTGCTTAAATTAAAAATTAATTAAATGAAACTACAATGGTCTTTTTTATAGTTGGGATAATCAAGAAAAACCCAACTCAATCCAATCCTAACTTTATCCATCCGTTCACTCTGAACATCCAACTTATACTAAACTTATACTAATTATAATTCTTTATGCTTGACATTTTTGCTTGTTATGGCAAGTGTTGCCATACGATACAGTCCGGGCAAAACCTATGGTTTTTAAGAAGAATCCTTATCCGATGAGAATCCCTCCATTCATCTAATCCGGTGACACTGGTTGGATGCAAATTTTCTGCACAGCTCTTTTGAACTTATTTGTTGCTGTCTCAACCATATCTTTTCGAACTAATCCATCCTTGCTCGGTAACAACTCAACTATGCGTCCCAGTGCCCAACTAGCTGGTGGATGATTCTCACTTTTGAGCACCACCAATTGTCCTATTTTCATACTCTCCTGTTCTCGTCTCCATTTCTTCCGTTCTTGAAGACTGGTTAAATACTCCTCCTTCCATCTTTGCCAAAAGTGCTTGATCATGGTTTGACGATCCTTCCACAATCTTATCCTCTACGTGGTAGGTTTTGGATCTATACTGAATGGTAATGGTAAGATCAATCCGGGCGTCAGAGCCTGCATATCCATTGGATCATCCTTCAGTGGGTATAAAGGTCTAGAATTTAAAATTGCTTCAATTTGAGCAAGCAATGTGATGAAATTCTCGTACAACAAGGTTTTGATCCCAATAATCCTTTTTAGATGAAACTTCATCGATTTTACAGCCGGCTCATAAATCCCTCCTTGATGAGGTGCTGCTGGAGTGATAAACTTCCAATTCGTTCCCTTCGAATGTAAATGGTCCAATGTATCCTTATCCAACCATTTCTCCATTGCTTTCTTCAACTCCTTATTCGTACTGACAAAGGTGGTACCATTGTCACTGCACATCCTTTCGCAACGACCTCTCCTGGCTATAAACCTTTCATAGCATGCGATGAAGGCCACTGTTGTCATATCCGTGACAACGTCGATATGAATACCTTTTGTTTTTAAACAAATAAATATTGCAATCCAACATTTGTGTATTTCTCCTCCAATCAGTTTTATACTAAATGGTCCAGCAAAATCCACTCCAGTATTAATAAATGGTTTACCGACTTGAGTCCTCTCAGCCGGTAAATCGGCCATTAATTGAGTTTGCATCCGTGCATTCAATCTCACACAAACTATACATTTGCGTACAATGGACCTCAATAAATCTCGTATTTTTGGAATCCAATAGTTTTGACGGACAAATTGAGTCATTTGTTGCACACCTCCATGCTTGGTAATCCGATGTGCGTATTCCGCTATTAGTTTAGCAAGGCGAGATCCATGAGGTACAATTCATTTCGTAATTCAGCTCCGATCTTTCTATCCGTCTTCCGACTCTAATCAATCCATCCTTATCCAAAATAGGATTGAGCGATTCTAAAACGGTTTTCTCTGGAATCCTTTTGTTTTGTTTCATTGCAGTCATTTTCTTATTGAAATATTCCTGCTGAGACTTTCTTAATGAATACTCCATCGCCTCTGCCTTTTCTTCCAAAGTTGGAGGAAAGGCTTTCAATTCTATTACTTTTCTTCAAGGTCGAGTAATAATTTTATCCTTACGATTTTTCCAATTTTTCAAGAAGCGTATAACATATGAAAGAATATTAATTGCCTTTTCCATTTTGCTAGTATACTCTAACAATTTTGTACCTTTTAATCCTATCCGTAACTGATCCTTATATTCAGATATTATAAATACCTTACATTCTTTCATTGTCTCTTTTGAAATCTGCTGCATCACTGGACTCAAAGGCCATTCTGAAGGCTTGTGTAACAACCAATCCGGTCCATGTAGCCACAAACTATTGTCAACTAAATCCTTTGCTGAGATCCCTCTCGTTAACAAATCAGCTGGATTATCCTTTCCACTGATATGTCTCCACTTTTTTATATCCATATTTGATTGTATTGAAGACACTCTGTTGGCGACATAAGTTTTTAATTCTCGCGGTACACGCCGAATCCAATGAAATGTTGAACTTGAATCCGTCCACGCTGTATAATCAACTGATGACCATTCCATAGTCTTTCTCACTTCTTTTATCAGACGTGAAAATAATTCAGCTGCTGACAGCTCTAATCTTGGTATAGATACTGTTTTTAGTGGCGCTACACGTGCTCTTGAAGTCACAAGTTGACATGTAACTAATCCATCCGGATGTTCAATTCGAACATACAACACAGCTCCTAAAGCAGGTTCTCCACTATCGGCAAATCCAAGTAAATGTATTTTCGATTCCGATTTTGTGCCTAACCATCTTTCAATGGTGAAGTTCTCCAAATATATAATCTCCATCCAGTAGCTATTCCATTTATTCTTCATATCCTCTGGAAGCTCTTCATCCCAGTTGAGTTTCAATCTCCACAAATCCTGAATAAAAATCCTTCCTTTGATCGTGACAGGTGAGATGAGACCAATCGGATCGTAAAGATGCATCACAAAACTTACTACTTTACGTTTGGTGATTTTATCCTCTATTCTTTGTTGTTTCACTACAAATGTGAATAAATCCTCTTGTATCAACCATTTTAATCCCAAAATGGTTGTGTCTTCCTCCTCTGAAAATATGACTTCTGTTGTATTTTCTGAATCCATAGTTCTCATAACCAATTTACTATTTGATTTCCATTTGCATAATCTAAATCCGGCGCCTTTTAAAATTTTATTCATCTCTTGAGCCAATACTTTTTTTTTAATAATAATAACTGCACCGAACAGCGTTCCTTCGCCTTGGTGGTTTATTGAAAATAATTTCATTAAATAAATATACAATAATATAATACAATTTGATTTTTATCAAGCATTTTT